AACCTTCCTGCAGGTGGTGAGTCCACTGGAAGGTACCAACCGCCCTAACCGGGATTCGATCTTCACCCAGGAGATGAACCCTGGGGTTCTAAACCAATGACAGAGACACTGCCTCTGGGCCAAAACGCCACAACTACAAACATATAAAACATAAAACTAATTCAGTTTTCTGGTCTAAATATTTTCACGCAGAAACATATGATATGTCTAACCTTTCAGTCTTGACCTGCCTAACACGACTGAAGCACGAACAGTGAACAGAGCAGTGAACAGAGCAGTGACTGCTCATCATTTCCTGCAAGTCAATCAACTCACTCATGGTCTTTGGTGGTTTGTGGTTTGTTTTTCCCATGGACGATCAGTCCGTCTGGACATAATAGACCACATATATGAACTTAGGTGTGAATGGTTGTAGGTTGGTTCTCAATAGGTGGCTCTGTGATAGACTGGTGAACCATTCAGTGTGTACTACGCCAGAGTGACTACTGGGATTCACTCTAGCTCCCCCTACATCCCCAGAAGGGACTGTGGTGTTACACACAGTCAGGGAAGTTACAATCGTGTTCTTCTAAGAAATGCGACAAAATGTTAAAAATGCACAAACTCTCATTTTCTTTCAATTCACATCAGTTCGGTTTTTTTTTCGTTACCACAAAAGAAAAGGAGAAAATACAAACAGGGGGCAGTGTCACTGCAGACAAACAAACCACCGTACACTTCTGGTCTGGGCAGTGAAAAGGTTTGAAGCTCGTTGTTGTTTTATCACTGAAACAAATCTGGACCAGACTTGGATTTCCAGATTGATGGAAGAAAAAGTAAAAGATGCCAAATTTAAACTGAAAGACTGAGAAATGCCGAGGTCATCTGACCCAGACAGATAGCTTGATAAGTTGAGGGTTTCTTGGGTTTTTTTTTTTTTTTCACAGCCAGCTTCAGCGGTGGTGTGGAAGTGCTAAAAGGGTAAAGAAAGAAGACAAAGCAACAGCTGGGTACCACGGCAGTAATTCCCGGCGGAGCCCTGGAAGACACCTCCATTTTCACTCCTGATTATAGAGTTTCAAATCAACCGCTAACACATACAACAAACCACTTCCTCTGGCCAACTCAAACAAAGACCGGCCTGTCGTGTTCGCTGAGAGCGAGACAAAGAGACGCGGGGGTCTCTGCGCTAAACGCGTTAAACAATTTTGTCATGCAAACAAAATGTTTACCAGTGAGGAATTCCACTCAACAAAGACTCCAATCTGATTTTGTCTTATTTATGTCAAACGCCGCGGCGTTTATGTCAGAGTGGCGGGAAGGCAAAAAAAAAAAAAAAATTGTACACAGAGAGAGTGGAGGCTTGTCAGGGTGAATGTGCATCTCCTGGTGAGGTGAGATTACTGAGGGGAGACATGGTGCGGGGGGGGGGCTGCCAAAGTAAAGATTTATATAGAGCAGTTGCAGCTGCAGAAACTGACATTGGACGACATAGAATGCATGATAAATCACAGTGGACAGGGGGCACTAGACTCAAGAAGCAGGAAAACACTGAGCTGGGGTTGGGGCGGTATCTCTCAGGGTCTATTTTTCAACTGCAGCCTGGGCAAAAACAAACGTTCCAAACGCGCAGGGTCCGGGGAAAATAGTGAGTTGTGTGTTTTAGAACTGTAGCTGCAGTTTCATCAGACGACAATCACTCTGGGATTCAAAGATATTCACTGTCCATCTGAGTGGAAGAATCTGTTGACAGGAGCAGAGAAATGCCCCCTTGTTTCTGTATGTTGAATATGACGGGTCTTCAAGGGTCAAAGGTTAATCCTTTTTTACTTTTATGGTGAAAGATCCGGTGCCAAGGAGGTGAAGGACGGAACTGCAGCCGGTTCCATCACTCAGCGCAATAAATGGATGCAATCTGTGTCCAAGTAAAGCATTCGGCGTTTTTAAATTCCACCTCTTTTATCCAAATGAATGATGGACCCCGGCACGGCACACTGTGCGGCAATATTAATATACATCAGAGGCCTGCACCCCTCACTAAATCAGGGAACCACCGGCATTTGTTATTTAAATGACAAACAGCAGCTGCAGGACTGAAGCACCGAGAGGGGACGCGGAATAAAAGGTGGACAAACCAATTCAGATTTCAATCCTGGAAAGACACCCGGGCCCGAGCCATCAGTCTAATGAAACACGGCAGATCCAATGGTCCAGGAAAACACACTGGCCACTCAGTGATGCCACCTCCAACAGAGGGGCCGCCAAAACACACTTTGAACAGAGAGGGTGCCACATGGAGCAACGCTGCCAGTTAACTGTGAACTGGACAAATATATCACATTCTCACATTTAAGGTGGAATCATACTATTAAAAGACTGAGGTTAAATGGGTCAGTCAAACTAATCCACATTTATTCAGTTGAATTTATTCAGATTTTTACTGATGGAATTCGAATGTGTTCATGAGTAAAGGCATCTTTTTTTGTCAATAGGGATTTTTTTTAGTCAGGAAATTTTGACAGAAAATTGGTAACACCATCACCTCGCTTTAAATCAAGACACAAAAAAAAAAAGTTCTTCCCCAAGTCAGGCTGAATCAAAGAATAGATTAAAATACAATGAGTTACAACCTCGACAATAACAGACCTGAAGTAACTAAATTACATGTCAAACTCAAGGCCCGTGGGCTAAAAGTGGCCCACCACATAATTTGATGTGGCCCATCAGAGCTTTTTATGCAAACGGTCGTGTGATAATATTTGTTCCTATGATCTTAAAGAGTCTGTACCTATTGTTTCTGGATGGGTAAAATGCAGCGGTCATTACACGGTTCTTCTGTCTGACTTTCCAATTCTGATGAAGTAAACATTTACTTTTTTGTTTTGGTACAACAACAATAACCTCCCATGACGTGAACTGATTGTGTTTTTGTTTTTCTTCAATAATGTTTGATCAACAATTTGAATTCTGGCTCCTTGAAGGACTGACGTTACTCAAAGTAATGCTAACATCTGCAGCTCAGTGAACCTTTTAGTCAAAGGAATGAATTAAAACTGCAAAACTAGCTAAAAAACAGATGTTAGCTGTAGACACACCAACATACACTCCTAGTGTCCTGCTAAAAGGGACTGAAAGCTAAAAGTATCGCAATTGTTTACAGGTATGTCAGTCCAGGTAATACCTTTGTCCCGCAAACCACGTGTTTGTCCCGCAAACCACGTGTTTGTCCCGCAAACCACGTGTTTGTCCACATGTCTTTGTCTTTTGTAATGACTGTTACCTGATGATGTCATTAACCCAGCGTCTGCGTCCTTACTCCTCCTGAAGTCTCCTGTGTACGACAGTCCTGGGCCGAGGTTCATCTGCCTGGACACACACACACACACACACACACACACACACACACACAAACACCAAGAGGTTCAAAAAGGTACAATTTTGCGCAGATCAATAAATGCAAACACTGCACATTTGCAAATAAAAGTGTTTACAT